CTTGCGCAGCAAGGGTGATGTCACTGAGGTGTTGATCGACTGGATCCGCGCAGCTCGTCTCCAGCTCAGGAGGAGCTTCGGCTCGGACTTTCCTGTCCTGCGTCTGCACTCTGACCGAGGTGGAGAGTTCTCCTCTGGCCTTCTGCGAGCCTACTGTCGTGCACGAGGCATCCGCCAGACCTTTACGCTTCCGGACTCTCCACAGCAAAATGGGATTGCTGAGCGCCGCATTGGCATGGTCATGGACGTCGCTCGTACGTCCATGATGCATGCGGCTGCCCCCCATTTTCTGTGGCCGTTTGCGGTTCGGTACGCGGCGCATCAGATCAATCTTCACCCCACGGTCTCCCGGCCGGAGACCTCCCCAGCTCTGCTGTGGACGGGGAAGGTCGGCGATGCGTCTGCGTTCCGTGTCTGGGGATCTCGGGCGTTTGTCCGCGACTTGTCTGCGGACAAGCTGTCCCCTCGTGCTGCTCCCTGTGTCTTCCTAGGCTTCCCCCCTGACGCCCCAGGGTGGCAGTTCTACCACCCCTCCTCTCGTCGTGTTCTGTCCTCCAAGGACATCACGTTCGACGAGTCAGTCCCCTTCTACCGCCTCTTCCCCTACCGCACTCCTTCCCTCCCCCCACCACCGCACTTCCTTGTGCCAGGTCCCCCCCAGGTAGACCCCCTTCCCCCTCAGGGTCCTGCCCCTTCAGGTGTGTCCCAGGTAGACGCAGTCGAGCCGGTCGAGGTTGCTGGTGACTCTGGTACTGCTGCGGGTGCTGAGCCTGGGGGTGCTGACTCTGGAGGTGCTGCGCGCGTGGGCGATGAGCCTGGGGGTGCTGAGCCTGGGGGTACTACGACGGGGGGTGCTGAGCCTGGGGGTGCTGAGCCTGGGAGTGCTGAGTCTGGGGGTGCTGAGCCTGGGGGTGCTGCGACTGGGGGTGCTGAGCCTGGGGGTGCTACGTTAGGAGCTGCTGAGCCAGGGGGTGCTGCTGAGCCTGGAGTTGCGGAGCCTGCGGCCACTGGACCTCCCCTTCTGGCGTCTGGCGGTGCAGGGCCTGGAGGCTCTCCGGGTGCTTCGTCTCGGCGGGAGCCACTCTCTCCACAGGAGCTGCGCGAGTGGTTTGCTCGCCGCTGGAGGCGTACTGCTGGAGCTGGAGCTTCTTCGGCCGCTGAGGGTACTTGTGCCGCCGGTCCCGGGGCTCCTGGGCCTTCGGGTCCGCCTGGCGCTGGAGCTACTGAGGGTGTTGGTGCTGAGACTGCTGCCGTCCTTTCTGGCGGTGGTCCTGCTGCGGGTGCTGCTGGAGGTCCTGCAGCTGGAGGTGTTGTTGGCGCTGGTGCTGCCGCTGAGGGTGCTGGTGCTGTCCCTGCTGTGTCTGGAGTTCCCGCGCGGCCTCGGCCGTACTTCGTTCCGCTCCTGCAGCAGGTTCTTGGTCTTTCTCCTCCTGTAGAGTGTCCACCGCCTGTCCAGTCACAGTCACAGTTAGAGCCCGCCTCCCCACTTCCTGCTCCCTCTCCTTACACTGGTCCTACTGGAGGTCTTGCTGAGCGTCGTGAGCCTGCGTCTCGCCCTGCGTCGCCTGTCCGTGCTGCTCGCACTAGTGGTCGCGGTTCGCGTCAGCGTCCTCCTCCTGTCCCTGGCACGCACCGGATGTCTCTGCGTCCCTCCACTGCTCCTCTGCGTGCCCCTTTGCCTTCTCCTCCTGAGTCTTCTCTTCCTGCTCTTGCCGACCCGGAGTCGGACTCTCTTCGTGCTGCCAGTCCTACTGTCACGCGTCTCCTTGCTACTGTTGTCACTGACCCTTCCTTTGAGTCCACTGCTGCGTCTTCCCTAGTTGCTGAGCTTGTCCACTTTGCTGCTCGTTGTCGTCTAGACTACGCTGCCAGTCTTGTTGCTGAGTCTGCGTTTGTCTGTCCTCCGTCCGTCGGGGGTGAGTGTGCTCTTGGCACGGACGTCCTTGAGGACAGGCAGGAGGAGTTCCTGTGTCTGGCTGCTGCTTCACCTCATCTCGCGTCCGTACTACTTGCCCCTGAGGGAGACCCGGATGCACTAGACATCCCGACTCCGCGCTCTTACGCGGAGGCCGTAGAGGGTCCCTACTCCTCTCAGTGGCAGGCAGCTATGGATGCAGAGATGGCTTCCTAGAAGTCCACAGGCACCTACGTTGACGCGGTTCCCCCTCCTGGGGCGAACATCGTCAGTGGCATGTGGATCTTCAGGGTGAAGCGGCCGCCGGGCTCTCCACCTGTCTTCAAGGCGCGGTACATGGCTCGTGGCTTCAGTCAGCGGCAGGGAGTTGACTACTTTCAGACCTTCTCTCCCACCCCGAAGATGACCACTCTTCGGGTGCTGCTGCATCCTCGCCTCAGTCCACTCCTCTGTCTACTCGCCACTCGCTCTCAGCTCTGCCTTCGGATGAGTCCGTAGAGTCGAGTGGCCCGTACCCAGAGCTTGTTGGCTGCCTCATGTACCTGATGACCTGCACACGACCTGACCTTGCATACCCTCTTAGCATTCTTGCACGCTATGTTGCTCCTGGGAGACACCGACCAGAGCACATGGCTGCAGCGAAGAGGGTGTTGCGCTACTTGTGCAGTACGTCGGGCATGGGGCTTGTGCTTGGAGGGCGGAGTCCAGTGGTCCTCACTGGGCACGCGGACGCTTCTTGGGCTGACGACCAGGCTACTCAGCGGTCGTCACAGGGTTACACCTTCAGTCTTGGTTCCGGCTCTGTTTCGTGGCGGGCTACTCGCTCGTCTTCTGTTCTCGGCTCCAGTTGTGAGGCTGAGATCTACGCCGGGGCCATGGTTGCTCAGGAGCTTGGCTGGCTCACCGACCTGCTGACTGACCTTGGAGAGCCGCCTCGTTCTCCTCCAGTGCTGTACGTAGACAACAAGGCCATGCTGGCCTTGTGTCGAGAGCAGCACCTGGAGCACAGAACGAAGCACATTGCTCTCCGCTACTTTCTTGCTCGTGAGCTGCAGCAGCGTTGTCAGTTGCGACTTGCGTACGTGGCCTCTGAGGCCAACACTGCTGATGTTTTCACCAAGGCACTTCCGCCTTGTGATCATCAGCGCTTCTGCACTCAGCTGGGACTTGTACCTGTCTTACCTCACTTGCTCACCTCTTGATCTTACTTGTACTCTTGCATATATATATACCTGCTCTTGCTTGTTTAGTGTTATATATATATGTGTGCGCTCCTGCATGTGAACTGGCCTTGTGGCCTTGACCTTGTGCTCGGACTGTGTGGTGACTTTGTGATCCACGCTGAGCTTGCTTTGCTTGACTGGTCTTGTGACCCCTTGTTCTCCCCCACTTTGCCTATGGGGGTGTGTCAGATATATATGACATAGCTATTGTAGGCTATAGTGGGGTAGCACATATGGGGTACAGCTTTCTAAGGTTTGTATTTGTACCCAACTTTCCCTTAATCAATCCATTCTCGTTCAACTTCTCTCAGTTACAGCGTTATCAACATTTCCCAGAGAAGTCAGAACACGTATCGGATTCGTGCAATATTGCACTAAATGGAAATCCCTTGACTCTATAATAGCTAGCAACCAATTATAGCTTACGGTACATGCACGCTGCAACAGTACAGTATCGCACTAGATACCTACTTCAGCCACTCAATGAACGTCCCGCCTCTTATATGGCGCCAGAGACAGCACCTTGATTGTCCCTAGCCTGTCTGGTAATGCATTGTTGCCTCCTGCTGTTGTTCCCATTTGAGGCGCCTCATAACTCCTAAGAGCGTATTCCTATCCTCGTATCAAGAGAACCTCATATCAAGATTGTACTTCTTGCCTGGTAAAACTAGCGAGAGGTTTCGGGTTTAGGGGAATTTTCAGTGGGAAGTTGATACCGTATTCTCCCGGATAAAACACCCCCCCGTAATTGTACACCCCCGGATAGCTAATACGGGGTGGGTGTTATATCCGACCCCGTTTGTACTACACCCCCCCCTTTTGGGGTGATTTTCTATAACACCCCCCTTTTCTTATAGATTCCTATTTTAGCTGTTATCGAGTCTAATTCCTTACGGGAGGATATCGCGAGAATTGCTCCCTAGGTGAAATTTCGCGTGTACTTTCACTTAAAATCTACCAAGATTTCCCCCTTCCCACAATCTCGCTGTCGCCACGTTGGCGAATCTTCCGTTGCAAGTGGCCCCATGTGCTGGCAACGCACCGACACGAAATCGGGAATCAGGGGTTTCGTTACGTTACAGAACGGTTTAGGGTAAACTTTTGAGCAAATGGTATCCAAAGGTCCCCATCCCACTCCCACATTCGTGGAATGCTGGAGCAAGGCTTCGGCGCGCCAATGCGGATCTCTCTGCTGATTACAGACCAGAAATTGAACAGCCTAGATCGTGCCACATCATTTTCATACCCCACCCAACCCACCTCACTTACACATGACCAAACCAGTCAAGAAGTGACTCTGGTACAGTAAGAGCGCGCCACCGTGCGCGATTCTGGCCGGCGGTTGCATGAACCCTCACCACGCAATTGGCTTTGTTTTCACCCTATCAAGTGCCAAAATTGCCCACTCGAATATGCCACGTGGCAAAGTCCAGTGGGCGGTCACGTTATCCTCGTATACTCGGTTTTGCGGCACTGGTCAACAATCTTGAAATGAAGTCAGACACCTGATTTTGTTTCACATCTTTTCTATTTGATAAAAAATATACCATATAATAAGACCCGGGTATTATGCAAGATTTTCCTTTGAGGAGACCCCCCCCCATTTTTTCCCAGTGGTTTTCATAATACCCTAGGGTGTTTTATCCGGGAGAATACGGTATGAGGTTCTCTTGATACGAGGATAGGAATACGCTCTAAGGTGCAAGAGAGAGCACCTTGATGGTCCCTTGACTGTTAGCTGCTAGCATCGTTGCCTCTTGCTCTGCCTACCTCTCCGCCCTTCCAGCACACAGCAGAGATGTTATGTGCTGTGTAGTATCGCACCAGATACTCCCAGCCCTTCTTGAAAAATTCCCGCCTTTTTATGGCGCCAGAGAGAGCACCTTGATAGTCCCTTGGCTGTTTGCTGCTAGCATTGTTGCCTCCTGCTGCTGCCCACTACCCCCTTCCCCACCTGCCCCTGCTCCACCTGCCTCCCCCCCTCCGCCCTTCCAGCACACTGCAGAGATGAAGTGAGCTGTATCCTCGTCACTGTCTTCCCCGTTAAAAGGGTCAGAGTTGGTGAATCGGTGTACTGCCATGGGCTTAGACATGGCCTGCGACAGGGATAAGAGAGGAACAACACAAAGGGTTGAGGAGTAAGGGTTGGGAGAACGGCAGCCGAGACTAAGCACTTAGTGAATGGCAATCGAATAACAGACAGAGTTCATGACTGTTACCCATCGAGTCAAAAAACAATGACATGACATGGCAAAATATGTTTCTCATGATTACCTTATAGTAGATGTACACTTCATTCGTTTCGGAGCCGCATGCGATGTAGTCACTGTTGACAGACAAGCCCACAAAGTTCTTCTCATTGGTGTGGCCCCTCAGCGTGCGGATCTGAACAGGTGCCCGGGAGAAAGGAGAATCAGGAAAGGCGGAAGTTGGAACGAAGCAGTTAAAGCACTGACAAAGTCAACCAAACACGTTCTTCTCATTGGTGTGGCCCCTCAGCGTGCGGATCTGAAAAATGGAGAGGGAGGGAGGGAGTGCACGGGAGGGGAAGGGAAACTAAGCGGAAGAGAAATGAAGAGGGAGGGAGGGAGGAAGGGAGTGCGGGATGGTGCCCCCTCAACAAGTGCCGAAAGCCTTGCCAAGCCATGGAGAGAGATAGCGTGAAAGATAATCCACATGACGGATGGGGGTAAGAGGAAGTGTCCGAGAGGGCAACCCACTGCAGCATGCGAGTGGCCATCCCATAGCCTCAGAGTGTTGTCGGTAGAGGCAGAGGCGAGCTGCAAGGGCGAGAGGAACTTCGCTTCAGGCAGCTCTTGGCCTTGGCACAAGTGTGAGAAGGGACACTCACTGCAGCATGCGAGTGGCCATCCCATAGCCTCAGAGTGCTGTCGGTAGAGGCAGAAGCGAGCTGCAAGGGCGAGAGGAACTTGACGTGTCGGGAGTCGGGACCCAAGGAGAGAGACGAAGAGAAGAAGAACGTCCGAGAGCAACTCACCACTGCGTGCGAATGCACGTCCCATTGCCGGAGAGTGCTGTTGGTGGAGGCCGAGGCGGGCTGCGAGGGCGAGAGTAAGTTCCCTTCAGGCAGCTCTTGGCCTTGCGAAAGAGGAAGAAAGTCCGAGAGCAACTCACCGCAGCGTGGGAGAGCACATCCCAGAGCCTGAGAGTGCTGTCGGTGGAGGCAGAGGCGAGCTGCAAGGGCGAGAGGAACTTCACGTAGCTCACAGCCTTGCGAGTGAACCCTCAAGGAAGGGAAGAGGGAGAAGGGACTTTGAAAGGGGTACTCACGGCAGCGTGGGAGTGCACGTCCCACAGCCGGAGCGTGCTGTCGGTGGAGGCAGAGGCGAGCTGCGAGGGCGAGAGGAACTTGACGTAGCTCACGGCCTTGCGATGCCCGCTGAACACGTGGAGTGGCAGCGCTGGCGCTCTGATGTCGTAATAGTGAATGTGATGGTCCGCTGATCCGACCTGGTATGGGGAAAAAAACAGGGGAAACCGAAGGAGGGAGGGGAGCTGAACATGTGGAGGGGGAGCGCTGGTGCTCTGATGTCGTAGTAGTGAATGTGATGGTCCGCTGATCCGACCTGCGGTTCGCACATGCAGGGAGGGCACAGCCAAGAGAGAGGATAGACACAGGGAAGCTCAGCACGTGGAGAGGCAGCGCTGGTGGCGCTCTGATACTGTAGTAGTGAATGTGAAGAAGCTTGTAAGAGAACAATTATAGACTCACAGCAATGAAGTTGGCGGAGCCCGGGTTAAACTTGACACAGCAGATGTTGGCCTTCATGTCAGCATCAGGTGTTGCTGACTATATATTGGCCCAGATGATAACGCCGACCAAGGGGGGATGTGGGGATGAGAAGAGCCTTACCGCAATGAAGTTGGCGGAGCCGGGGTTGAACTTGACACAGCAGATGTTGGCATTCATTACAGGGTAGGGTATAACTTACCATACATTGACCCGAATGATAAGGCCAACAAAGGGAGGAATGCAGAACGATGCGTGAATGCACGGGCTTACCGCAATGAAGTTGGCGGAGCCGGGGTTGAACTTGACACAGCAGATGTTGGCCTTCATGTCGATGTTGAGGATGCTGCTCTCCTGCCGCGTGCACCAGATCTTCACCTGTGATTCACATCAAGTGGCACGAGATGGAGTGGGGCAGCAGGATCGATAACACGGAGAGGAGAGGAGCAAGAGGCGAAGAGCCGCATACCAGACATAGAGCGGCGGTGACCGAGGGGAGGGATGGGGAGGTTGAGGAGGCGAGCGGGGGAGGTTGAGGAGGTGAGGGGGGAGGCATCACTCATCATTCACTAACTCGCCTTCCCATCGTCACTGCCAGAGACAAGCCTCGTGGGTTCCGTCCTCGCCAAGTCCACGAACCACGCTCTCTTCTCGTGCTCCTCATACTCCACCAAGCTCTGCCCCGTGCCCACGTCCCTCTGTCTGCCCTGCCCTGCCCTGCCCTGCCCTGAGTGCCTTTCCACCCCGTGCGCACCGCCCCAGCTTTCCCAGTCACACACCTTCCCATCGTCGCTCCCAGATACCAGTCTGGTAGGTTCCGTGCGCGCAAAGTCCACCGACCAAGCCCGCTTCTCGTGCTCCTCATACTCCAGTAGACTCTGCCCCGTGCCCACGTCCCACACCGTCACAATGCCCTCGTAGTCACTGCTGGCAATGTGCGCCTTGAGGTAGGGGTTCCACGACAGGCAGCTCAGTTTTGAGCGAGTAGGCATCTCCACGACTGGACAGTGCACGTCTGCGAGCTCTCCCACCACCTGAAATGGAACATGGGTGCATGGGAGAAGGCGGAGGGGGGTGCATGGGAGAAGGCGGAAGGGGGTGCATGGGAGAAGGCGGAAGGGGGTGCATGGGAGAAGGCGGAAGGGGGTGCATGGGAGAAGGCGGAAGGGGGTGCATGGGAGAAGGCGGAAGGGGGTGCATGGGAGAAGGCGGAAGGGGGTGCATGGGAGAAGGCGGAAGGGGGTGCATGGGAGAAGGCGGAAGGGGGTACATGGGAGAAGGTGGAAGGGGGTGCATGGGAGAAGGCGGAAGGGGGTGCATGGGAGAAGGCGGAAGGGGGTGCATGGGAGAAGGCGGAAGGGGGTGCATGGGAGAAGGCGGAAGGGGGTGCATGGGAGAAGGCGGAAGGGGGTGCATGGGAGAAGGTGGAAGGGGGTGGCGGGGCAGGGGCAGCCACAGCTTCGCCGCCCGCCACCTTCCCGGCTGGCTGCACAGGGCAGATGCTGCCAGCAGCATCACATCACAGCAGCATCACATCACAGCAGCATCACATCACAGCAGCATCACATCACAGCATCATCACATCACAGCACCTGTGAACGCGCAGAGAGGGTGTTTATGAGACGTCTCAAAAACGCTCTCTCCACACGTGGCTAATCCCCGCCACCTTCCCGGCTGCAGAAGGCAAATGCCGCCAGCAGCATCACATCACAGCATCTGTGAGCGCGCTGCGCACGCACACTCCCGCCCGCCCTACCCCTCGCCCAGGGCAAAACAAAGTAACCGACCTGCGAGAAGTTGAAGACCTTGATTCGTGAGACGTCTCAAAAATCTACTTTCTACACGTGGTTTTGAGACGTCTCACAAAGTAACTGACCTGCGAGAAGTTGAAGACCTTGATTCGCCTCGACACGCCCGCCGTGGCAAAGAACTCGTCGTCGCGGTCGAACTCAATACTCGAGACAATGTTGGAGGAATGGAACAAATCCCCCTGCCGCAACTCCGCCACCACCTTGACACGGCTGAACCGCGTGAACGCTGCTAACACCTGCCGGAAGTCCTCCAGGCCCGTGCCCAGGTCCACCTGCCCTACCGCCCCGCCCTCTCCTGCTCCTGCTGCTGACCGGTCTCCACGCCTTCCCGCCTCTGCTGCTGCTGCTGCTGCTTGTGATGCTGCGGATGCTCCTCCTGCTGCTCCCGCGGGCTTGGCGGAGTGCGCTGCCTGGCGGCGGTGGTGCAGGTAGCACTCCTGCAGGTCGTCGAACTGCAGAAGAGAGGAGAGAAAGGGCATATGTGAGGGGAGAGGGGGTGAGCAAGATCTGAGAAAGTGCGCTGCCTGGCGGCGGTGGTACAGGTAGCACTCCTGTAGGTCGTCGAACTGCACACGGGGGAAGGAGAGGGGATGAGGGGGAGAGGAAGGTCTGAGGGAGTGCGGCACCTGCTGGAAAAAGAGAAGAAAGTAAATGGGAAATAGAATAAAAATAAAAACAACAACAAAAGGTCAAACCAGGAAATGATTGAGAGAGGAGGAGCAGCAGATCCAGAACGGCATCTCTCCACCGTTGGATTGCCTCTCATTCTCAACGGTCTGTTCCATTCCATCCAACCTACATGGGAAAAAACGCGTCGTTTCTTGGCAACCGTTGATGCGGACATGGCAATATCCGACGGCCCACACGCGACCAGCCCTCCCCCTTCCCCTCCCCCCTCCCCTTCCGCCTCCTCCTTCACCGTCCCCACACCTCCTCCGCCTATCCCCCGCCCATCCCCCTGAATGCGCATCTTCTGCGCGGTCTGCTGCAGGTGGTGCGCGAGTGCGGGCCCCCCTCTCCGCTTGCTCCCCGCTAGCCCTCCCCCCGCGCCCGCCTTCAGCCCCGCCAGTCCCCCGGAGCCGAACCCCGTTTCGTCTCCCCCCGCGCCCGCGGAAGACGCGCCTCCGCGGAAGAGCAGCGCGTGGATGGCGGCGGCGGACTGCTCGCGCATCTGCTGCAGCGCGCGCCGCCGCTGCTCCACCGCCGCTATGTCCTCACGGATGAAGAGAAGGTCCGCGCGGAGCTGGGGGGGAAAAACGGAGGGAGAAAAAGCGGAAAGGAAGGGGGATGGGCGGACTGCTCGCGCATGTTCTGCGCGGACCTGAGCTGCTCCACCGCCGCTATGTCCTTGCGGATGAACAGAAGGTCCGCGCGGAGCTGGAAATGGGGAGGGAACCGCGGACGTCGGGAGAGACCAGGGGGAAGGAGGATGAGCGGACTGCACGCATGTGCTGCTGTGCGCGCCTGCGGAGCTCCTAAGCGAGGAACAGCGCCGGAGAATGGGAGAAGGGAGATGGCGGAAGGCAGGGAAGTGGGGGTACGACAGCACTTTCTCCGCTATGGACAAACTCGATAACACTCGGTACAGTACGAACCTCGTCCAGTTCCGCTTGCTTCTTCTGCCGCGACCGCTGTAAAAAATCGAGGAGGATATCCATGTTCATCTCCGCCTCCTCCTGCTCCGCCTTGCGCCGTTTCTCCGCCAGCAGCGCCAGCAGCGCGTCCAGCTCGCGCACGCTCATGCTCACGTCCGCGCCGTGCTGCAGCGCCAGCCGCAGGTGCTGCGACGGCGACGCGGTCGAGACCATCTGCGTCGCGGTGGCTTTCTTAAGGAGCTGCACAGGCAGAGGGAGCGGAGGGAGCGGACGGAGCGGAGGGAGCGGAGCGGGGAACATGGCGGGGGACACGGGGCGAATTTAGGGACGTTTCGGAAAGAGACAATCTGCGTCACGGTGGCTTTCTTTAAGAGCTGGACGGGGGAAGCGGGAGACACGGGTGAGGAGCTCCGAGGGTGCGAAAAATACTACGACTGGAGATGCTTAGTTAAGTGTGAGGCAAGAAATTTACCTTGTTAAGCGTGAAATTCGGGAATATCTGGTCGAGAGTGAGGAATTGCGAACAGCACGGGCAGTTCCGCTTGTGATGCAGATGCGTGGTGATGCACGAGTAGCAGAAACTATGCCCGCACGCGGTTAGAAACGCGTCGCGCATCGGCTCCATACAAATCGGGCAGAGAAAATCTTTGTCCATCTGACCCTGTCCGTGCGGAGCCGCCATGCTTCCGCCACCCGGGCCGCCTTGCGGCGCAAGAGCTTGTAACGAATGGCTAGTACCTAAGGCTATCATACACATATTTCTCCTAAAGCTCGCATTAGCATCCATCCCTATATTATCCTCGTCATGCAATTCTCCTCCTTCGATAGGCTCGAGCTTTGCCTGACTACTTTCGGCAGGAGTCCCGCCGCTACCGCCGACGCCAGCTCCGCGAGCCATCATTACTGATGGAACGTTACTCGGAAATCCCGATGAACCTTCGGTCAGTTGCACATCCATGGCGGATTTATAAGATGCGATGCAGAGGGGAAAATAGTAACTGAAGAGCAAAAAAAAAAAAAAAAAAGTCGATTTGAACGAGCTAGAAGAATCTGTCCGTCACACAGCTATAGGAGCTGCCTGGTCCTGGCTGGGGAATGGAAACCCTAGAAAAGATTCGCTCGCTTCGAGTGATGGACAAACCGTACGGGTTTGTCACCTGAAGTGCAGGGCTCAAACTGTAGATCCAAGAATCTTCTGGAGTCTGTCCTGGGGGAAGTGGTGTGACTGCGAGTCAGGTTGGAGTGGTGAAATGAAAGGTGGATCTGTCAAAGGTGAGATGGCAAACGGAACACGGAGCAAGCAGGAGAGCCTTAGGATTTTCGTGAGCGGGCATGCAAGCTCGACACGACAACAACGAGTGGAACAATTGGGGCCATTGCGTACATTATGAGGGTAAGGAGTCTGTACGCCCATAAACCCAAACTGGGAAACCTGAGTATTTTCGTCACTTTTATTCGGAATGCAGCAGTGGCAGGTCCGATGAAGAGGTCTTGATCCAACAACACGACCAGTGGGAACATTGAAGCAAATCACTTGCGAAATTGGCAGTGAATCCAAAAAATCGCGCGGGTTCGGATCAGAACTTCTTCTGGCGTGGGTACTTCAAAAGCATCAAATTTGGTCGGTGTTGAAGGACAACACGTGGATTGTGTCAACATGTGTTTCGTGTCCCTTCGTCTGCCAACAGATCAATGTCAGATTCTTGGTCAGTGGTGTGTTTGTGTCTTTACGGTCAGCCCGATGGCACTTTTCCCAATTTCCTTAGTCTCATCCCAGCCAGCCACCACAATTTTCGCATGTCGCGACAGGCAAGGGCTGCACTTTGGCAGCCCCAATCCGTCGTTTAGCGGATAATTGCTGCCCAGAAGCAACTGGGAACAGCTCTCTGAGCGGAGGGATGGAGGCCATGTACGGCAGGGATGCACTGAGCCTGAATTTGTATCGAAGGGGGGAAAAGGGTAGATCATGTTATACTGTACCACGAAGGGTTGGGTCCACTAAATGTGTACACTTTTCTGCAAAGCTGCTTATGTATTGTCTCTTGTACATGTGCAAGACCCATCAACAAAGAAGATACATCTGCTTCGCTTATCTCAAGTGGTCACATGTTTGCTAAGCATACGTGGCACATTGTTGCTCTATAAGGTGATAATTTTGCTGAACAAGAAACCTGGATCCTCCCACACCCTCCATGTTGTACGGGGCGCCACTGGATGTCCAGCCAATATCACCATAGCTGATAGATATCAGAACACCACATATGTAAAAAAATGCAGGTACCGCACGGGGCAGGGCAGGTGGGGGAAAGCAAGGATAATTTTGAAAAAATGCAGCACGGCAGCTGTGGCAGCACTGACATTTCAAGAGCGTTAATGGGTATTACTCTTAATACAAGCTCTCAACAATAGTAAGTAAATGCTCCCCGTATTTATATAAATATATTCAAAAACGAATTAGAAAAGGGCGAGAAAAGGGAAGAAAAAGGGAGGTTGGGGGGAGATGGTGGGAGCAAGGGTGGGGGGTTGGCAAACCCCATCACAACGCAACAAACCGCACATGTAAGAGCAGGCACCGGCATTCTCACCCCCCTACTCGTCCATCCACGTGGAGAGGTAGGGGTCGCTGGTGGCCTCTGCGAGCCCAATCATGCCATCAACCGCACTGCACCATAACAAACCGAACCGCACCTGTAGACACACACACCTGTAAGAGCACATATCGACGTTCTCCTCGCCCTTGTCATTCATCCACGTGGAGAGGTGGCGGTCGCTGGTGGCCACTGCGAGCTCACTCAACCATGCACCCACCGAACCCCACACCACTGAACCCCACAACACCCCACACCCACTGGATCCCACACCCACTAAGCCACACACCTGTAGGAGCACATATCAGCGTTCTCCTCGCCCTTCTCATTCATCCAGGTGGACAGGTACGGGTCGCTAGTGGCCTCTGCGAGCTCGTGGGCGAAGGTGGAGACCAGCGCGTCCATTCCCTTGTCCCTGTTGGGCGCCGCCAGGCTGGACGCTAATTCCCACGCTGCGCAGTTGGGCAGGCACTGGCATGGGTGGGAGAGAGCACGGGAAGAGGAGGGTGTAGATGTGAGTGTGGGCGAAGGTGGAGACCAGTGCGTCCATTCCCTTGTCCCTGTTGGGCGCTGCCAGGCTAGATGCCAGTTCCCATGCAGCACAGTTGGGCTGGGCAGGCACTGAGGGAGCAGGAAGGGGATGGGGGGGTAAGGGGGGAGAGAGCAAAGGGAGCAACGTATAGCTGTGAGCATGGGCGAAGGTGGAGAGGTAAGGGTCGCTAGTGGCCTCTGCTAGCTCGTGCGCGAAGGTGGAGACGAACGCATCCATTCCCTTGTCCCTGTTGGGCGCTGCAAAGCTGGACGCTAGCTCCCATGCCGCACAATTAGGTAGACACTGGGAGGGGTGGAGAGGGTTGGAAAGGGGTGGCGAGGGTTGGAAAGAGAATGGTGTGGGTGTGAGGAGAGGCGGAGGTGGAGACGAGCGCGTCCATTCCCTTGTCCCTGTTGGGGGCTGCTAGACTGGACGCTACTTCCGACACGGCACAGTTGGGGGGACACTGGGAGGGGCAGACCGCAAGAGCACAAGCACTGCTTGCTAGCTCCGCCACTGAGCAGTCTTGCACAGTTGGGGGGACACTGAAGGAGGGACAGGGAGGACCGGGGGTGGAAGGGAGAATGGGGAGTGGAAAGAGGGAAGATAGGGAGGGGGAAGATAGAGCAAGGGAAGAAACGTGTAGCTGTGATGAGTTGAGGGGCGAAGGTGCGATTGAACAGTGCCAGTTAACTCCACAGAAGCACACTGCACCGCACTCAGCCTCAGTGTACTCACTCAACCGCATGCAACAGCACTCAACCACACCTTACCCTGCCGGCAGGGTTGCTCGGGCAACAGCACTCAATGCACGAGGATTGTCTTGATCCTCTTGGTTGCTGACGAGGCTCGTCTGCATCCTCTAGCCCATCATGTTGAAGTGAAGTATGATTGCCAGCCGCAGAAACACCATAGAGTTAGGTTAAATGCCAGTAAACTCCACAGAACCATACCAAACCGCACTCAACCTCAGTGAACGTCACCTAACCGCATTCCACCGCACTGAATCAGGCCCTACCCGGCCAGCAGGGTTGCCGACGAGGCTCGACTTGATCCTCTTGCCCATCATGTTGATGTATGAGTGCCGGCCACAAAAGCACTGATAACCACTCAACCGCACTCAGCCTCACTCAGGCTCACTCATCCACATTCAACCGCACTCAACCCCGCCTTACCCGGCCAGCAGGGTTGCCGACGAGGCTCGTCTTGATCCTCTTGCCCATCATGTTGATGTATGAGTGCCAGCCACAGAAGGCGGTGCAGAATCCTTTCAGCATCATCTTCTGTCAGGGGAGGGGAGTGATGGGGGGGAGGACGAGGAGGGGGAATGGGGGATGGGGAGGGAGGAAGGGGGACGAGTTTGAGCGCTGGAGGAAGGGGGCGGGGGGGAATCATGGCGATGTAGGAGTGCCAGCCACACAAGGAGCTGCGTGTTTGAAGAAGTCTCTGCGTGTTTGAAGAAGTCTCTGCGTGTTTGAAGAAGTCTCTGCGTGTTTGAAGAAGTCTCTGCGTGTTTGAAGAAGTCTCTGCGTGTTTGAAGAAGTCTCTGCGTGTTTGAGCCGCCTCAAAACACTTCTTCAAACACGCAGAGAATCATGGCGATGTACGAGTGCCAACCAGCCAGAGAAGGAGTCCAATCGAGCCCCACGTATTGACCCATGGCCTCTAAGTGGGGCTCGATTAGAATCATGGCGATGCACGAGTGCCAGCCAGCCAGCCACACAAGGAGCTGCAAAACCCCTTCAGCATTCTTTGGACGGGGTGTTGGACGGGGAGGGGGGGAAAGGGGAAGAGTTTGAGCGGTGAAGGAATGAATGGGGGGAACTCATGGGAACGTCCGAGTGCCAGTGCACAGGCATAAAAGGAGCTGCAAAACCCCTTCACCAGCCTATTTTTGAGTCGACTAAAAAAAGAGTCGACTAAAAAAATGAGTCAACTAAAAAATGAGTCAACTAAAAAATGAGTCCACTAAAATATGAGTCGACTAAAAAATGAGTCGACTAAAAAACGAGTCGACTCAAAAATGGGTGGGGGGAACTCATGGGAACGTACGAGTGCCAGTGCCAGGTGCTGTTATCATTAAACAGGTGGGCTGCGGAGGTCTTATGTCCAACAACTTAGATGGTTCTTAAAACGACGAGACAAACTCATGGGAACGTACGAGTGCCAGTGCCAGGCTTAGAAGGAGCTGCAAAACTCCTTCACTTTTGAGACGTCTCAGAAAGGCAGGTGCCGTCTCAAGATGTGCTCATGGATGACAGCATGCACCGATGCTGTCTGTCTTTTGAGTCGACTCAAAAGTCACAGCGCTCATGGATGACTGGATGCACCGATGTTGTCTGTCGACCTGAGGGAACCAAAGGGAGACCTACCAGCACCTGCACGCGTGTGATAAGTCGAGTTTTGAGTCGACTCAAAACTCGACTCAAAACTCGACTTATCACACGAGGGAACCAAAGGGAGAGCCACCAGCACCTGCACGCCCTGCCACACCCACTCACTCTCTTCATTCTCGGAAAGGTGATGACAAAATACACTCCTTTGGTGTCAAACGGGAGGTAGTGTCTCAAGATGGATTCGCGGATGACTGCATGCACCGATGCAGTTGACCCCAGGGAACCAAAGAGAGAGAGAGAGAGACCCCCTTTTGCCCCCGCACCCTGCCCAGCCACACCCACTCACCCTCTTCATGCGTGGAGAGGAGATGACAAAGTAAACCCCTTTCGTATCAAAGGGCAGGTAGCGCCGCAAGATGGACTCGCGGATGACTGCATGCACCGATGCCGTTGACCCCAGGGAACCGAAGAGCGTCGGCAGGATACCTTTTTCACCTATCCACCGAAACCCCTGCATGCCGCCCTTGCCCTTGCTCTTGCTGCTCGTTCTGTTGGCGCTGCTGCTGCTGGTAGGGCTGGCACTTTTGCCGTTGCTGCTGCTGCTGGTTGTGTTCCCACTGCTGCATTTGCTGCTGCTGGTTGTGTTCCCACTGCTGCATTTGCTGCTGCTGGTTGTGTTCGCACTGCTGCTGGTCGTGTTGGTGTTGCTGCTGTCGGTGGTTGTGCTGTTACCGCTGCTGGTAGAGCCACTGCTGCCGCTACCCCTGTCACGAATGCTACTGCTAATCTCAGCCGAATGCCGGGTAACCGGGCGGCTGGAAAATGGGCGGCTGGAAGATGGGCGGCGGGAAGTCAGGTCGCCGGAAGTCGGGCGGCGGGAAGCCGGGCGGCGGGAGGAGCGACGGCCGAACGGGTATGATGACTCGCCTTTGAGCGTCACGGAGGAGGAAACCGGGCGGCCCTTGCAGTCGTGGTACTGACGGTTGATGTCCCACCAGCCGGGGACTGGGAGCAGGGGGGGGGGGGAGGGGGCAAGGAAGGGAGGGGGGGGAGGGGGCAAGGAAGGGAGGGGATTGAGGAGCGAGAAGCGTGTGTGGAGCAAAGACAGGGCGGCCGCTGCAGTCGTGGTACTGACGGACGGTTAATGCCCCTCCAGCTGGATAGAGTTCATTTTTGAGGCGCCTCAAAAATCAACTCTGTGTGTGGAGCAAAGACGGGGCGGCCCCTGCAGTCGTGGTTCTGACGGACGGTTGATGCCCCTCCAGCTGGGGACTGAGTGCGGAGTGCAGGAATAGGAGAAGATAGAAAGGAGGAGAAGAGTGCAGGAACAACACACACGCATGCACGCACACCCCCACGCCCCCTCCCCTCCCTTCCACTCCGCCACACCCACCTGTGTTTGTGGGATCCCTCCTGTCTAAGATGGACCGGATGAAGCACACACCCCCACCCCCCCCACACACACACACACACGCACACACACACACACACACACACGCACACACACACACACACACGCGCACACACACGCGCGCGCACACACACACACACACCCCCACCCCACGCGCGCACACACACACACACACACCTACCCCACGCACACACACATTCCTACCCCACGCACACACACACACACACACACGCACACACACATGCGCGCACACACACACACACACCCCCACCCCACGCACACACACACACACACACACACACACACACACACACACACACACACACACACACACGACCCCTCCTCCGCCCCCCCCACACGCACATAATCAACCTCCCTTCCTCCCCTCCACCCTCCCCCACACCCACCTGTGTTTTCGGGATCGCCCCGGTCCGAAATCGACCGGATGAAGCTTCTGAGAATGTTCTTCTGCGCTCTGGAGAACGGGCCGAACCAGATGAGGTAGACGCGGATGGGGCGATGCATCACTCCGCACAGCCCCGGGCGCGCGCTGCACGGCCACCTGTGACAGCCATGCTTCATCCCCCCCTTGGAGAGCGGCTTATTGAGAGGGGCGTTATTGAGCGTGACATTATTGAAGGTGATATTATTGAAGGTGATATTATTGAATGGGACACTAGGGGATGAGACTTCAGCTGCTGCGGTTGCTGCTGCTGCTGCGCCTGCTGCACCTGCTGTGAAGTTCCCACTGCTTTCTCTTTGACCAGAACGCGCGTTCAACCTCGCAATTGCTGCCCGTAACTTTCCTCCTCCTCCTACTGCTTCAGCTTCTGCTTCTGTTTCTGCTTCTGCTGGGGTTGCTGCTGCTAAGGAAAGTGAAAGGGACTGCTTGGGTGAAGGAGGGGAGAGTGGAGCTGGAGGAGGAACGGAAGGGGGGGGTGGGGAGAGTGCCTGGTTACCAGCTGCAGTGAGGACGGCACTTCCGCCGCGCTTCCCCTGATACCTGCGGAGAAGGGGAATTTGGAGAAGTGAAGGTGCAGGGGAGGTGGGGGGGAGTGGGAAAAAGGTAAGGAGAGCTGCTGGTTACCGGGTGCAACGAGGGCGGCACTGCTGCGGCGCTTCCCGTGATACCTGTAGGGAAGGGGAATGGAAGGAGAGGGGGGGCCGGGGAGGGGAAGAGGGGAGAGCTGCTAGTTACCGGGTGCAGCGAGGGCGGCACCGAAGCTTAGCGCTCCCCCTGATACCTGTGGAGAAGGGGAGTGGGGGAGAGGGGGGCCGGGGGAGGAGGGGAAAGAGGGGGGGAAAGGTGGAGAGAGCAGGAGGTTGTTGGGTGCAATGAGATGGCAATGTAACAGTGGCTCTCCCCCTGATACCTGCGGAGAAGGGGACGGGGGGAGAGGAGGAAGGGGAGGGGGAGGTGGGGAGAGCGGCTGGTTACCAGCTGCAGTGAGGACGAGGTGACTTTTGAGTCGACTCAAAAGTCACCTCAGCTGCAGTGGGGACGGCACCAAAGCTGCGGCGGTTCCCCTGATACCTGCGGAGAAGGGGAAGGGAGGAGAGGAAGGGGTGGAGGGAGGGGGAGAAGGGGGGAAGGGGAGAGGGGGTCTTGCTGGGTGGGAAGCGGAAGGAGAACAGTACATTCGAGGGATACCTGGAGCAATCTGACGGCATTGACGGCGTTGACGGCGATGATGATGCGATCGGAAGGATAATGGAAGCAATCTGACGGTGCTGGCGGCGCTGACGGCGCCGATGATGCGATCTGTGAACGGAACGACTTAATCGCTTGACGGAAAGAGCACGTGGGGAAAGGGGTGTGGCCACGTGTGACCACGTTTTAGCTGCACGGAGGGAGGCTGTCCGTACCTGAGACGGTGAACGCCAACGGGAGTACGCCACGTGGCCGCCAGCCGAGGAGCCAATGAGAGAGTTTCCCGCCTCGACTCGCCAGCAACGGCTCCTGTTTGTTGAGCCGCAGCAGAGGACGCGAGAGCAGCCGCCCCCCCGCCGCCATTCCCTCTACTCGGCGCGCGCTCGACCCGGGAATGATCAGCGCGATTGACGCCGCACATCACAGGGACTGCGGAAAGGAGAAGCGACGCGAAGAGGGAGAGCTGGAGGGCAGCGGCGGCGCGGCGCCGTGGCGCGTGCCGATGAGGTCGGACCGCGATGAACAGACGCTCTTTACCCTGACCTCCAGTATAACTAATCTCCGAAATGGGTGGGTCAAGCGCGGCAAGCAGATCAGCCATCTTAGTTCGGGTCGAACCGATCTCCTAATGCGAGAGCTACGCTCGGGCCAGTCGGTCGGCGATTGCCGGTTAAGTCTCGACTCGAGTCGAATTCGCTGCTAGCGTTTCATCTGAATGTTCCGAGTCGGAGGTAACAGGAGTATCCAAGAAACTCGCGAACTCGCGCTTTCTGGAGTCCTCTTTGCTGACCAGCAAGGCGCAAACGAGACGATTTTCGAGGCGCCTCAAAAATCGTCTCCACTCGCGCTTTCTGGAGTCCTCTTTGTTGACCAGTAAGGCGCAAACGAGAACAACCAATAACTTCAAAATAATTTAGGGTTATTGGAGGGAGGAAGAGGCGGCGGCCAGCAGCGGTGGATTGAACGGTGACGAGTTTGTGTTCTCGGAGAGATTAATCGACGCCGCAAGGGCAAAGGCTGAACTCTGAGAGAATGAATCTTGATGCAGGTCGGAGACGGAGACTAGGAGCCCTGGTCCCTAACATCACACGGCCCAAGAACGCACAAATAGCTCGCCCATTCCTCGACGAATTGTTGAGGGGAGCGAAATTCATGATAATATACAGAGGGAGAAGCGAAGAGGATGTGTGCCTGCTAGTGCCAGCCATCGTCACTTTATCATGCTGGAGCTTGTTAAACAGCATGTCTGTCTACGTGTACATCAGACATACAGAAGAGTCTTTGAAATAAAGAAAGCGCGTGAGATGGCGGCGGGCGGGCCTGAGGTAACAAGCTAGCATAACATGCGGTTAGGTATTTGTGGTGTGTTGCAGTGTGGTGTCGGATCCGCAGATATCACTTCGTTCACGAAGAATGCGAACGATCCCTCGCGATTTGTGCGAACAACTTTCCCTACTCCCAGAGCAGTCGTTGCGCCTCGCCAGCATGTCGTTGAGATGGTATGGCGATGACATGCCAACACCACACAAACGGCCAAGCCTATCAAAATTATATAGCCATTCGATTTCACCACACCACACATCCACCCAGCCACCACCATACATGGGTCCATTCCATTTACAGTTGTTCATGACACAATGCCTGACAGCCACGCATTCTCCTGGTCTCAATGGCAAATCCAACGACTCCGATGGGTCAATGAGTGACTGTTGTACCATTCGCACGAGACCACGGGCCGGGGGTGGCGGAGTGGCGCTGACCAATGGTGTTGCGTGACTCGGCACACTCAGGGCAGCTGAGTTGAGGCATGTGGTTGGTGGGATTTTCAGGGATTTTCCGGATTGGAAAAATATGCTCGAGTGGAGGGTCTGCTTCGTTCCCGCGCGACCATGCTGGGTTCTGTTGTCTTCTCGAGGTCCACATACATCTGGGTGTTTTTAGGGGGTATTTCTATTGCACACCCTTTGTCACAGGTTGATTCGCTTGCGAACAGGCTCCCGCTCGGAACTGTGCGTGCGACCCAGTCAAAAAAGACTGGCGGAACTACTCAGTTTCGCTAGGGACGATGGGATGGGATGGGAATCAAGCGAAATTTTGGTTATTTCGTGAGGGGGGGAAGGGCGGGGGAAGAATGTGCGGAAGGGCTGCCCTAGGTCAGCTTTCGGGCACTGCTCGATAACATTACGGGACGGGGACGTGAGGTGTTGGTTCTGAGTTTCTTCCCGAACCAGACGCGACAAAATTTTGCAACCGCTAAAAGTTCCCTAGTCACGTTCCGTTGCAGACGCTCGAACAGGGTGTCGATTGGTTTGGGAACCCCCAGTCCCCTCCCTCTTTCCGCCTCGATTGTTTCTTCACAGACAGGTACACATGATGCCCAACCCGTGCACGCGAATTTGCCCTGCAACGGATGGAAACCCTGCACCCGAGGTTTTTTTCCCAGCCAGTTGCACGCTCTTTACAAGCACGTCGCGCAAGCTGCTGTTGTTATGAACCAATAGTAACGAACAGACCGATTCCATACTGAAGAGACTGATGAGACTGAAGGGACTGATAGGTTACAAACATTTTTACAAGCACCTGACGAAGACCTTTTTGCTAGCTGCGAATTGACGAAAGTTATGCGAAACGCCCGTTACAGCCTTTAAGCTCCCTTTAAAAGGTAACCGGGGTGGCTCAAGCGGGCATCATGTTTACTTGGTTCACCCGGTTTTCAAGTGATTAACCAAGGCCTGTCCCTGGGGGTATGTAGACCGCAACGTGTATTGTCGAAGAGAAAAGGCCCCGCCCTCGCTTGGGCAAAGTCGACCATGCATTTCGGAACAAGACGGTGTTCGTTGCGTGGTCATCGGCGACTTCGGGGACTTTTTCTCTGTGTGCGATGAGTCATTTGTCGACAAGATTATTTGGTCGAGGTAGAAGTGTTTCCTCGGCTCGATCAAAGTCCTCGTCTAGGAGGAGCTCGTCGAGGGGAGTAAAACGGCGTCAAAGACGAGCCGTTCTGATAGACAGAATCAGCAGAAATGGTGTTTCGACGGATAGCTTGTCGACAGAATATAGTTCGATGAGTGTTTAGTCGAGCAGATCGATTCTGGTCGACCAGATTTAATTGACTCCAAAAAATGCCATTTGCGCGAATTTCACCCAATTACGGAACAGCAAATTTCGACCAATCAGGTAATTTCGGAAATTGTACTCCCCAGGAGAATTCGATTCAGTAAGGAAACTGAACCTGAAACACGTTTTTACTAACAGTAAAAACATGCACAACTATGAATGTTGTAAACCTGAGCAACTACCAACTGAGGTGAAATATGCATGTGCTTGTCGTTTCGCCTGCCGTTGCTGACTCGACAGATTCAGGTGCTTGTCGAGGAACGTTTCTACAGGGTTCATTGTCTTTGCTATTTGGTTCTCCTTGCTTGTACCATAATCTTGTTCTATGAACTTTTGCTAGTGGAACTATGCGTAAATTCTACCAAGACAACTAAGTTCACTTCTGAGAATCACTGCCAGAACTCTGACCGTGTGTCCCACGCTAGTCAAGCTCTCCCGTAGAATAGTATTCTCCGTATGGTGCGGTGAGCGTGGACGGCCCCGCGTTAGAAATTTCAAATAGCCGACTTATGCGTTCATTACCTAAGTTGTTGTTAGGTCGGCAGCCATCTTAGTCACCATGGTCGACCCCGTCGTTGAAACGGGCGTAGAAGATACCCTGGAGGTGAGAGACGCTGGTGTTCGGGCACGCCACGAGGCTGGCGGTTACGGCGAGGCGGACTTGGAGATTCTGCTCCTTCGAACTCGTGCGTAGTGGGCGCGTGAGCATACCCCTCCCCGTGCAGAAGCGGATGACACATCCGCCTCTCCCCGACCCGTGCACAACGAAGGAGATGGCGGCAATGTCGTCGGCGATGGAAGCATGAGGGTTCGCGGAGTGATTTGGCCCACCGATGGCGGAGTGCAGGCGCAAGTGATGCGATCATCTGCGACTGGAGGCAGCTCGAACGGCAACGTCGGTCCTCTGCGGAGTGGAGCCAGGCCGGCTTCTGCGACTCATGCATCAACTGGTGGAGACGGAGGCATCGCACCGACAAACGTATATTAAAAAAATTAAGCCGGACAAGATCGCTGTGCCGAAGCCGCTCGAAGGTCGATACGACTTGATCACGTGGATTGAATCCATTGAGCCCCAGCTAAAGATTGCCGGATAAAAGAAGTTCGTCGACGTCAATGTTGTGACGCCGAAAACAGACGACTCTGAACTCTGGACGGAATTTCGCGCTCCTCATCTACTGACCTTCATGGTTATTTCGAGGTGTTGTTCGCCTCTGGTGCAGGTCGCATTGAAGTCGTGCAGACAACGGGTGGATGCTAGCTTCCAATCGTGGCAGTACATCATGCGCACCTACAAAGCGACCGACGACCTCTACATCAGTCAGCTGGAGAAGAAGTTGACCAACATTCGAATGGGGGAGCAGGAATCTGCGATCGAGTACTACAATCGAGCGTGGCGAGTCTTGGCTGATCTGCGGATGGCCGGCGTCGACTACTCGGTGGCGTCGTATGTCACTCATGTGATCAGTGTGTGAAGAAATAAGGAATGAATGAACTAGCAAGCAGGTGGGTACAAGTAGGAAAACCTAGAAGTGTTGTACCCCATATTGTCTACCCCACTACAGCCTACACAGACTATAGCATAAGAGTTTGACACACGCCCATAGGCAAAGTGGGGGAGAACAAGAGGTCACAAGACCAGTCAAGCAAAGCAAAGCAAGCTCAGGGTGGATCACAATGTCACCACACAGTCCGAGCACAAGAGCAAGGCCACAAGGCCAGTTCACATGCAAGATCATATATAAAGGTAAACAAGAAAGTGCAGGTATAGAAAGATCACAGTACAAGCAAGGTCAAGAAGTGAGCAAGTGAGGCCAAGTAGGCACAAGACCTAGCATCGTACAGAAGCGCTGATGATCACAAGGTGGAAGTACCTTGGTAAAGATATCAGCAGTGTTGGCCTCAG